AAAAAAAAAAAAAAAAAAAAAAATTAAATATGGTATCTTCCTCTGACCTGGAATGGTCAGTTTGCAGGAAATGAACTCTGGGATCATAAGCCTGCTTTCTGACACTGCCTTTGAAGACCCGTGGAGCAGCTTCCTCATGGATGTGCTTTCCCCTCTGAGCTTCATCAAGGTAACTTACAAATTCATGAGGGATGAAAACAGTCTCACCTCCACTGATACCCGTTGTTTGGTCTGATGTGTTCCTCCCACTCCAGCTCACTCAGCCGTTCATGCTGTTTACTGTCTCTGGCCCCCTGGGACTCTTGCCAACCTTGTGCCTTTCCAAGATGCCTAAATCCAAGCTAGGACTCTAGGGATTAGTTTCAAGCCTATTTGTCACCTTGGGTAAAATTCTAGTAACAGGTTCAGCCAAGATTAACACCACAGTGCCTACCTCTGCCTCCCACTCTAGTTCCTACTCATTGCCCAACCTGAAATCTCTGAATATGATAATTGCTGCCATTTATAAAATGCTTATTTGGTATTGAAGGTTAAAAATACTTTATCTTCTCTCATGCATTGGAGGCTGAACCGAAGGCCTTGTGTATGCTGGACAAGTATTCTGCTGAGGTTCATCTCCAGCCCTTTTTTATTTTTGTATTTTTAGGGAAGGGTCTATAAGGTATTCAGGATCTCACTACTAGATCAGACTTGTAGTGATTCTCCTGTTTACAGCCTCCCAAGAGCTGGGATTACAGGTGCGTGCCACCTTGCCCAGTCTCAATTGCTGTCTCAGTGTGCCCAGGGGGTGGGGCTGGAGCTGGAGCCTGCACAGCAGGCCCAGGAATCAAATCCCCAGGCCGCTTTAATTCACTGAGATATTTGGCCGGCCCTTTTTTTTAGATTTTATTTTGAAGCAGTTTTGCTAAATTGCCCAGACTGTCCTTGAATTTGTGACCCTTCTACCTCAGTCATACATAAACTTCTCGCATATATTATTTCAAAGTCTTAATCACTCTTGACATGGAGGTATATTACAGATAAAATTAAGTTTCAGAAATCACAGGCTATTTGGTATTTGCATCTAGGTCTTTCAAATTTTATAGGCCATGTTCTAAATTAATGTATGTCTTTGCTACACTAATGAGCTATAAGGCTTAGAGATATCGCATATCTAATCTGATATCAGAGGATATCTGATCATAGAGGACTTGCAAGTCAAATCTCTAGAGTTCAAGTGGTTAGGAAAGGGGAGAGATAGGGAGCCAGAAGGGTAGTGCACACTTGTAATCCCAGCACTTGGGATGCTGAGGCAGGATTGTGAATTGAAGGCCAACCTGGGAGTTCTAGGCTAGCCTTAGAACAGACCATGTCTCAAAAGGTAAAGAAGAAAAAAAATCAGCTGAGTATGATAGTGCATGCCATAATCCCAGCACTCAAGAGGCTGAGGCAGAAAGATCACCAGGAGTTCAAGGCCAGCTTGAACTAAATAGCAAGACCCTGTCTCAAAAAATCAAAAAAGAAAAGAAAAAATTAAACAGGTAGGTGTGGTATCAAACGCCTGCAATCTCAGCACTTGGAGGGGCTGAGGCATCAGGATTGTTGTGAGTTTAAGACAAGCCTGGACTACAAAGTGAGCTTAAGGCCAGCCTGACCTGTATAGTGAGACCCTATCTCAAAAAGACCAAAAGTGGGGGGAGGGAGTAGATGGAGGGAAAAGGTTCTTAATCGGAGCGACTAGATGGTAAAACTTTGATGAAACTTTAGACCTTAGTAGAATCAACAGAAGGCTCCAGATGGCTGGTCTTCTTATTTCTGCCTTGTACCTTATGGGTGAAATATGCTGCCATTCAAAGTACCTACTTTACAGCTTCTAGGAAATACCCACAATCTGTTTGTTTCCTCCCCAGGGTGACTGCTGTTCTTCATTCTATTGCCAGGGCCAGACAGGTGGCTGAGTAGTGCAATGCTGGCCGAGCATGCACAAAGCCCTAGGTTCAGTGCCCTGCACCTGGGTGGGCGGTTACCCCACCTTCTCTGAGGGTGCTGGAACAAGAACTGGGTGTCCTTGAAGGATACGAAAGAATATAAGGTTTAGTCCTTTTGCAGGGATGTTGCCACAATTTTGCAGCCAGACAGGGCTACTTAGTGAATTCAAAGCCAATCTTAACTGCATAGTAAGACTCTGTATAAAAAAAAAAAAAAGCAAATGTCCCACTGCACTACTGGGGGAAAAAAAAGATTCATCTTCCTTCTGAGGCCAGAGAATGCCAGGCTCTTATTTTTTTCCCAGTCAGTTCCAGGCCTCTCCCTGCAGACTTGGGACTACGCCACCTCTCTCACCACTCATTCCCTTCCCAAGGCATTCCCTTGTGCCTTGGCTGACTAGCAAGGGGTTGATAGGATGGAACTGAGCCTAGGAAACTAGCTCAGCCAGTGGTAGAGACACTACCCATTCCACCCATGAAGCTTCCCAAGGTTGAGTGGGCAGCCTAAGGGCCATATAGCAAAAGGGATGCTGCCCTTGCCCCACCTGAGAATTGAGGTTCACAGGCAGGCCCTGTTTATGGTCTACTTTTTGGGTAGGGATTTGCTGCTTACAGGCTGAGAAGCCTGGGCTGACCCCTTTTGCTATTTCAGGGCTTCCTACCACCTCCTGCCAGTTTCTTCTTTAGTATCTCCTGCTTCATTTCTCCCAACTGGAGTTTCCTCTAAAGTCTCCTGCTTTTCCACAACTCCAGCCTTTCTCCTCATCTGACTCTGTCACCTCTCAAGCCCATCCTCCTTGCCCCTCACGTACTTCTGTTCCTTTACAGAGTAGAATGGTTTTTATGGTAGAGCTCAGTGTCCTAAACTTGGTCTGTGAGTTAAGATTAAGATCAAATCTGTTGCTGAATGTTTATCAGATGCTGGCCCTTACTGTGGGAGTCAGTCCCTCATAGTTCAGCCTGAGTGGGGGTGGAGGGTGGTGTTGAAGACATATTTGTAGCATCCTCAGGCTTACCTCAGGTTCTAATGCTTCCCTCACTCAGTGCTGAGTTTGGGGTTCCCCCTGCTTGAGTCTTCCACTATGCTAAGGTTTCAAGCCTGTGAGATCAGGTTTCATAATTCCTGGAAGGCCCCAGTACACTCCCCACCCGGGGATTTCCTCCTTGGCCTCTGCACCTCCTGCTCCGGAAACAACTACTTGGATGGTGGGTGTAGGCAGCCTGAACCTAAGAGAGAGTCACTGGCTGCAGCCAGTTCCCACGCCGTCCCGGCAGCTGCAGATAGTGGCATTTCAGCAGTCTTAGAATAGTCCTACTGGTTAGTCTCCCTGAATCTCTGTCTCACACCTACAAAACAGTGACTCCACAGATGGTTGGTGAAAAGAGTAAATGAGATCCAAGTACTTTAGGACATGTTATTCTCCCAAACCTGCAAATATACATCCTTCCTATTCATTCTCAACCTAGTGCATTGCCTTCATGCTATGAAGCTACACATAATCTGTGGTTACTTGTGGGGTAATCTTTTTTCTTTTTTTTTACCGTTTTCTCACTAAACTAGAACATGTACAGAAAAAGAGTGCAGAAAGGAAGATAGCTCAGGGAATTAAAAGCACCTGCTTAGGCAGATCACAGTGGCCAGTTTGGTTCCTGGGCTTGCCTTGCTCGCCCTGCCTCCAGGACACGCTGATAAAACCATTGAGTCTGGGCATGATGGCACTTGCCTGTAATCTCAATGCTTGGGAGGCTGTAAACAGGAGGATCACGAGGAGTCTGATCTCTGTAGTAAGACCCTGTACACTCTGTAGACTTTGTACTAAATACATTAAAGGGGGGGGTGCAAGAGATGGCTTAGTGGAATAAGTGCTTCCTTGGTAAGCGCAAGGGCCTGAGTTCAATCTCTGGTTCTGAAAAAAAAAAAACCCTTCCAGATAGACAGTGGTGGGGGCCTGGCCCTAGCTCAGTTCTTTAAGTGGCTGCTTCCACAAAGCTGTCAACCTCAGGGTGCTGTAGTTCGATCCCCACAACACTCCAGCCAGCCAAACCACCCCTGAGGGTATTCGGAGCCAAAAAAAAAAAAGACAGTGGCATATGTCTGTATTCCCAGCTACTTGGGATACTGAGGCAGAAGGATTGCAGTTCTAAGGCCAGACTGGGCAACACAGTAAGGCCACATTTCAGAAAAAATAATTCTTAAACCAAAAAATACTCACTGTCAGTTCTTCCCAGCATCTGTGACATCGTATTGTTCCTGCTGTATTGAGGATACAATAGGCTGAAGTGCTTGCTGATGCCCAAGAGTCCCAGGGCAGCAGCAGTGAGAGGAGCACTGAGCATGTGCATGGCTAGGCCTGGAGAATTAGTGCCCCCACAGTAGCGGAGGGCCGGGCAGCCTCAGCTTCTCTCTCCTCTACCACCAAGCCCACCACTAAAAAGTGAAACCCATGTACCTGAGGGAAAGAAAGAAAAGGAGTAAAAGTGACCTTTACTCTGGGACACCGTAGTCCCTGGGGATAGGCACTTCTTGGGCCTTGGAGCTCTGGAGAGCACCTAGCATGAAGCCTGGCAGGGGTATACTTGGTGTGTGCAGTTCAGTGAATGTCTTTTTTATCTGGCACCAGGAATTCAACTCAAGACCTTGTGCTTGCCACGCAGGCACTTGTGCCACTGAGCTATATCCCTAGCCCAGTGAATGACTTTTGCCCTCATTCTCCTGCAGATCTCCCACATCCGAATGCAGGGACTCCTCTTAATAGTTTTTGCCAAGTACCAGCATTTGCCTTTCATCCAGATCCTCTCTACAAAATCTACCCCTACTGGTCTCTACGGGTACTGGGTAAGGACTGAGCTGTTCTGAGCCATGAGCTGGGAAAGGTGGGGAGCATTGAACTGAGCAAAAGTAAGGAAATTGAATGTTGGTACTCCAGGAAGGTCTGTACCTTGCATACTCCTTCTACCTCAGAGAGGGCTGGGTAGCCCTGAGACTCAGGCTGGGTGGACTGGGCTCTATACATGGACAGATTGCCTGAGGAAGCTGGGTGTGTGCTTGGGAGATTCTGCTGAGAATGAGACCGTCTCCCTCAGTCCTGGGGTGGGAAATGGTGCCAACCCAGAGTAGCATCCCATCCTTCTGTCCACTGTCCCTCTAGGGGAACAAAGGGGGAGTCAACATCTTCCTGAGACTTTATGGCTACTATATCAGCATCATCAACTGCCACCTGCCTCCCCACATGGCCAACAATGACCAGCGGCTGGAGCACTTTGACCGTATTCTGGAAATGCAGAATTTTCAGGGACATAATGTCCCCAACATCCTGGACCATGAGTGAGCCTGGAGCTGCAAACTATCACCCTGCCCTCTCTCCATGCCAACCCAGTCTCTGTTTCCCAGACAATCAGTAGTGCTTTCTCTCCCACCCTGTCCCTAACCCCTACCCTGATGTCATGTACTGACTCACCTGGATGTGCATGCCTGAGGTCCCTTTTCTTCTGCCTCTATGTCCTTGACTAGAAACACTGTACATTTCTAAACATCTGAGGTCAACAACCTTGTGTTAACCCAGGCATGGGAGCACACACCTGTAATGCCAGCTACTTGAGAAGCTGAGGCAGGAGGATCATAAAGTTGAGGCTTGCCTCTGCTACATAGCAAGATCCTGCCTTTAAAAAAAAAAGCAGGGGCCGGGGAGATGGCTCAGTAGGATAAACACTTGACTGGCAAACGCAAGGATCTGAGTTCAATCCCCAGTTCCACCAAAAAAAAAAAAAAAAACAATGAGCCGGGTGTGGTAGCATACACTTATAATCCCAGCACTTGGGAGGCTGCATGAGGATTGCTACAAGATTGAGGCTATACTGGGCTATATAGTGAGTTCAAGGGTAGCCTGTGTGTGAACTATGTAGTGAGACCTTGTCCCCCCCCAAAAAAAAAATACAGTACCAATGGACGCTTGATTTACTCAATTTATTCCCAAGGGCTGGTTGTAATTTATCAATTGAAGGCTCAGGTTGCTTCACACAACCTTCAAAGTCTCACTTCAGTATACAGGCAGATCTCTTTAGAGAAACACTGGGGGCTGGGGATATAGCTCAGTAGCATAAGTGCCTGCCCAGCAAGTGCAAGGTCCTGAGTTCAATCCGTGGTACCAAAAGAAAAAGAATGCAGAGAAACATTGGCCCAGAATTTCATAATTAACCCCATGCAGGAAAGGATGTCTTAATGTTCCTTCTGAAATTCGTTAAGGGTTAAATCTGTATTCAAGACTATCTAGAAGCACAAGTAGCTGGCATTCAGGTCATAACTCAAGACTTCAGTCATAAGTTAAAACTAAAGCTCGAGGTTCACTGTAAGCCCAGCACTTGAGAGGCTAAGACAGGAGAATCCCTTCAAGTTTGAGGCCAGCCTGGGTTACATAGTGAGTTAAAGGCCAGCCTGAACAACACAGTGAAGCTGTCTCAGAAAGCAGAAAACCTGAAGTTCCCTAGAGTCACTGGAAGGGTTGTTTCTCAGCCTCTGCTGGTGGCCAGTTGAGAGGGAGGAGGGAAAGGGGAAGGGTAGTGCCTGCTGTATTTTCCTTATGCCCCTTTGAGCAGGTCCCTTCAGCCTGACTGGTGCTGTTAGAGCAGTGAGATAGTCTTTCTCGACCCACGCATGTCCTCGTTACCATGTGATGCTCCCCTTGCATCTGTCTTCTTGCCTGCCCCCTTGAGCTTTCTACTCTCCAATAGCTCTGCTCTTAGGTTGAGCAAACCTGAGTTCCCATTGCTCCTCCCTTCTCTGAGCTCATCACAAACCCTCAGGCTGCCCTCCTTTCTTTCTAAAGCCTCATCCTCTGGTTTGGAGACATGAACTTTCGGATCGAGGACTTTGGGTTGCACTTTGTTCGAGAATGCATAAAAAATAAGTGCTACAGTGACCTCTGGGAGAAGGATCAGGTATCAAGCAAGGGGGGGTGGCATCCCCAAAGGGTACTGTGAGCTCACTGTGGTCCCTGTGAAGAGAGCAGAGGGCATCACTTGGGTTCCTTGGGGGCTGTTCTTTCCCTGTGAGTAGGGAGGGAGTCTGCAGGGCTGGGCTGGGGCAGTCCTGCCCATGCTTGCTCTTTCCCTGTGCTTTAGAGTAGAGAGCCAGAAGGGCTTTGGCCTGATGTGACCCCTCACTGCCCACCAGCCCCCTTGTTTCCTTGGCATCTTTGCCATCCCCACCCTTGTTTCTTGGAGAATGAAATGCCTTTTTGGGACCCTGGCCATTCAAAGCATGTTCCCTGTGATCTAAAGACTGGGAAGTGGCAGGCTGTTGCCTCCTCTGGGCCTGGGGGTGGGTGGGTCACGTTTCCAAGATTCAGGTTTATCAGGCAAGGATAGGGGTACGAGGGAGCTGTTGGGACAATGAGAAGATAGGAGTGTGTTCTAGTTTGGGACTGTGGAGAAATAGGGACTCTGCCTTTATCTACAGCTCAACATTGCCAAGAGACATGACCCACTGCTCCGGGAGTTCCGGGAGGGTCCCCTGCTCTTTTCACCCACCTACAAGTTTGATAAGAACTCCAGCAACTATGACACCAGGTGAGAAGGAAATGGGTGCCCAGGAGGCCCAAGAAGTTGAATTATCTAGAACTAGTGGCTATGGGAGCTGCTGCGGAACAGAAGTGTAGGAGAAGCAAGACTAGATCTAGCCATCACCTCTCTTTCCTGAGTGGCACCTCCTGCCCACTGTATGAAGTGCTGACTAGTGTCCCAGATTGTCCCCAGAGCACAGGGGAATGGAGTGGTATGGGTCAGGGAGGGGATGGCAAGGGCTGGAGGAGAGGATGGAGGTGGCAGGATCTTCTGATCCCCAGATAGAGGGCAGAAATCTGGGCTCTGTGATCACTGGAATTGTGTACCCCTGAGCCTCCAAGGTTTTTGTTTGTTTTGGTGGAACCGGGGATTGAACTCAGGCCCTTGTGCTTGCCAGGGAAGCGCTTATTCTACTGAGCCATCATCTCCCAGATGGCCCCTGGAGCCCCCAAATTGGAAGCCTATCTGAGCAACATAGTAAGACCCTGTCTCAAACAACCAACAAAACAAAATCAGAGACATTGTATCCATTGCCATGCTGCGCCTCTTCATCTTGGACAAGGTGTTTAAATCTCAGTTTTGCCATACATAAAATGGGGATGATAATATACGCTTCATGGGGTGAAGAGTAAATTGAGACCTTGAATATCATTAGTCCATTGCTTGGCACCCAGTAAGCATGAGTAATAACTGCAGTTAGTTTTAGTTTCATCTCCTTCATTGGTAGATTTGTTGGAGAATGGGTTTGTTTGGTTATTTTGTTTTATGAGACAGGGTCTTGCTACTTAGTTCAGGCTAGCCTGAAGCTCACAGTGATCCTTCTGCCTCTGCCTCCTGAGTACTAAGATTACAGTGCGTGTACAATGCCTGGATGTCTGGTGGTAGTTTTACTGAAAAAATTTCTAAGAAGCTGAGGAAAGAGACTAAGGGTTAAAAGTGGTTCTGGCCATGGGTCCCTGACCCAATATAAGGCATGGACACTAGTCTCTCCTATGAAAAGAACCTCTTACATTTTGGGGAGTTCCTAATTTTGTCTAGATGAGCTTCTTCATTCTTCCTGGCAAGACTGCCTTATGAAAGAGGTGGGAAATGCCTACGGGTGTCTTCACAGCAGGCCAGGGCAGAAGGCTGAGCTGTAGGCTTGTTTCTATCTAGAAGGAGTATGCCAGGCCCAAAATGTGCTCGCCAAGGAAAGACAGAGAGGAGAGCCATTTCAGGAGTATGGAACAAGATGGGGTGGGGCCATGGCCAAGGCTGACCATACAAGCAGATGCGGTGAACACTGGTGACAGAGCAGACAGAAAAGGAGGCAAGATGGCAGGCCCTGGCCATAGCTACAGCAAGACTGCCTGTGTCTGCAGCCATCCATTGGAAAGGAGAGCTGTAAGGCTTCAATGAACTGACTGGGTCCTTGGAGGCTGGAACCTCTACCACTGAATGCAGAGTCAATTGTGCCTGGCATGTGCAAGGCCCTGGGTTCAATCCCCAGGACTACTCAAAAGGGAGTGGGCACAAAAAGTGAAAGGAGAACCCACTTGCCATGTGGTCAGGGTACAATTTGGAGACTGCCAGCAGACTGTAATTGCTTGAAGCAGCTGGGTATGGGCTGGAGCTGGCAGGGTCTGACAGAGTAGATAGGCCCACAGATAGTTCAGGCTCAGGTAGCTCAACCAGTGGTGAGCTGGGATCCAGACCCAGCTGGACTCTGTAGTGCTTTCCTCAGAATTGGCAGTTAATAGCCAGGGGTGTAGTTCAGTGTAGAGTGCACACTTAGCATATGTGAGGTCCTGGACTTGATCCCCAGCAATGGAAGAAAAACAAAAAAGGTGCACAGTCAGTTTTGCCAGCAGCAGGAAAACAGCAAGTATCTACTCTGGAAGAGATTGGTACTTATTCTATGTAAGAGCTCATGGTGATTGACATTATTGATCACTTAGCATGTACCTGGAATTGTGCAAAAGGCTGTGCATCATTTCACTTGATTCTTTTTTTTTTTTTTTTTCTTCTGTATTTTAGGGCAGAATCTACAGGGTGTTCAAGGTCTCACTACATAGATTGGACTCATAGTGATTCTCCTGTTTATAGCCTCCCAAGTGCTGGGATTACAGGCACATACCACCATGTCCGTCTCAATCGCCGCTGTCCCAGTGAGCCCCAGGGGTAGGGTCGGCATGGCTACTCTCTGTCTAAGCAGGCGCTTTAGTCTGCTGAGCTATTAGGCCGGACCTTCACTTGATTCTTAACATATCTACCTTGTTACTGACTTGTGTAAATAAGGATTATGAGTCTCAGGGATTATCTAAACCAGGTAGTAGCAGACTTAGTGTTGGAGCAAGAATTTGAACCCAGGTTCTTCTGACTCCAGACCCATGAGCTTTCACTACTCCTTCCCCTTGCCTGAAAATGAGAATGAGGGACTGTCTTGAGTAGGAATAGGGGACATCATAACTAAAGTATTCCTGCTTGTAGAGGCAGCTGGCAGCTGACCTAGAAAATAGAGACATCATTATAATCAAAACTGTTAATCCCTCCTGAAAGCCCCATTCAGACATCATCTCTCCCAGGAAGCCTTCCTCAGTCCCTCCCTTGACTCACCAAGTTCCTCTCCTACCCTGTGCTGCCACCAAGCCTTGCACACATCCTGTTTCACTGGTGTTTGTAAGATTCAGGGTGACCTTCTGGGTGTACTGTGAATGTCCAGAGGGCAGGAATTGGACCGTCCCTCATATGAAGACAGTGTCTGGCATGTGTTTAAATTGGGAGCTTAAGAGGACAAAAGGAAAAGTCATGGTATTTAAACCAGTCTAATGCAGGGATCCACCCATTGCAGCGAAATACAAATAAATACTGTTGAGCTGAGGAGAAGAGGTTTCCAGAACACTATATAAGTGCCAAAAGGGGCTAGCAGCTAAAGTGCGAAGGAGTAGATCAGATTCTTCAAGGAGAATATCTTTTTTTTTTTTTTTTTTTTTTAACTTTATTTTTTTTTAATTTTTATTTATTTGAGAGAGAGAGAGAGTGTGTGTGTGTGGCCAGCTCAGCCCACCAGGGGGCGGGGCTGGCTGGCATGTGGTGCTGGGGGATTGAACCGCGGTCCCTGATGCTTTGCCAAGCTTGTTCTAAGTAGGTGCCTTAGACCACTGAGCCATCTCTCCAGCCCCAGAATATCTTTTTTGTTTTGTGCTGAGGATTAAACCCAGGGCCACATGTATCATAGGCAAGTGCTTTATTGGTGAGCTGTACCCTACCTACCAAGGAAAGTATCAAGGAGGAAACAGAGTTGAGAGAAAGAAGAGGAGCAGGCATTCCAGTTAGCACCACTGACTGGCGACACCTTGAGTGGAGTCTGACCCACTAGGGTCCCTGACCTGTCTGGTTGTACCAAGTGACTAGGGTTATTTGTGTGCAGCTTTGACCTGCCATTGCAGTACCCCTGAAACAAAATGTAATGAGAAACGAGGTCAGCTCCATTACAGGGGCGGATGGAAGGACTAAAGGTAGGGAGGAAAATCCTGTTAGTGTCAGAGATTGCATTGGGGTTTGGATTTAATCAGTATTATGACACAGATGACCCTTCATAGACAATGAATAGAAGATATAATCAAATCTACTCAAGACTTTTAAGTGCCTGATAGGTTAACTGTGGCCCAGGATTCAATGAAACACTTTAAAGCCTTCTACAAGGAGCTAAAGAGAAAAGTGCTTTTGGACCCAGAAATTGAACACGTCATGGTCCAGGAGGTGAGACTTTTTTTTGGCTGGCTCAGGCTGCCTTAAGGGTGGATCTGGTGTGGCATGTAGTGCTAGGAATCAAACTATAGTCCCTTGGCCCTGACTGATTTTGGTAACGAAGGTGCTTTAGACAACTGAGCTAACCTGCCAGCCCCAGAAGGTGAGACTCAACAGAATCTTACAGAGTTTAGCCAGATATGGTATCACACGCCTGTGATCCCAGCACTCAGGAGGCTGTGGCAGGAAGATCACCATAAGTTTGAGACCAGCCTGGTCTATAGTAAGACTCTGTCTCAGATAGATAGATAGATAGATAGATAGATAGATAGATAGATAGATAGATA